TTCTTAGATTTATACCTCAGTATTTCATTTTAGGGGGTGGTACTGTAAATGGTATTGTTTTTATTGTCCTTTCACTGTCTTTGTGGTGTCCTTTAAAGTAAAAATTTAAAGTTTTGATTATATTTAACGTATATTTCTTCTTTTGTTGCTTATGCTATTGTTGTCATACAAGAAACCAGTGTCAAATACAAACTCATAAAGATGTTCTTTCATGTTTTCTTGCAAAGAGTTCTATAGTTTTTGTTCTTATATTTAGTTATTAATTTGAGTTAAATTTTGTACATGGTAAATTAGGATGTCATCTAACTTATTCTTTCGTACGTGGATATGTACTTGTCCCAAGACTGCTTTTTTCCTATTGAACGGTTTAGGCACTTTCGCTGAAAGTCAACTGACCACTGACATAGGGGTATATTTCTAGACTCTCGAATTCTCTTCCACTGATCTGTATGTCTGTCCTTATACTAGTACAAGTAGGGATTGTGTATAAATACTTCAACTTTCTTCTTTTTCAAATAGGTTTGGCTATTCTGGGTTCCTTCTTGAATTTCCAAATGAATTTCAGATCAGTTTGTCAATTTCTGCAACGATGCCAGTTAAGATATTGACAGGTTACACTGAACCTGTAGACTGATTTTGGATGGTTACTACTATATGGTATGTATTTGGAAAAAGATTGGAAAAATATGCAAATAACTTAACTTGGTTGTATTTACATATACTTCGACAATATTTATTCATGTTCTTCTACTTAAATATTTGAGTTTAATACTACCATATTATTATTTTAAATATATCTTTAATGATTTCAGAGAGAGGAAGGGACAGAGAAACATCAATGATGAGAGAGTCGTTGATCAGATGCCTCCTGCACGTGCCCTACTGGAGATTGAGCCCAAAACCCAGGCATGTGCCCTGACCAGGAATCAAACCCCAACCTCCTGGATCATAGGTCAGTGCTCAACTGCTGAGCCACATGGGCCAGGCTAATTTTATTTTTTATACAGGTATCCTTCAAACAGCAACATGAAAACTTTAAATATAATCAATGTTCTTTCCAGACTAAAAAGTTCCTTTAAATACTACCATTTACTGCTCTCATTCATAACTGTTAATGTTATATTAAATCTGTAAGAATTAGTTGTTTAATACTTAGAGATTTATTCACATATTTATCTTGCTTTGCTTTGCAGTCCTTTCTGTATCTTTGGCATCTGGAATCACTTTTATACTACCTCTGGAATTTCCTTTGATAGGTCTGCTGGCTGAAATTTCTCATATCTTACCCTTGTACTTGAAAGCTATTTTTCAAGGCATACAATTACAGGCTGATAGTGAATTTTTTCCATAGTGTATTAACACTATCATGCCATTGTTGCATTTAACTATTGCTGGTGGGAAGTCAGCAGTTAGTTAGCTGTCATCATTCTATCTTTGAAAGTAACCTCCCTTTTATTCCCAGCTGCTGTATACTGATACCTCTCTTCAGTTCAGAAAAAGTCCTATTATCTCTCAAAATACTGGCTCTGCCCCATTTTCTTCCTCCTTTCCTTCTGAAACTCCAATTAGGAAAAGTTTATCACTTAATATTTCTCATTTCATGCTTGCTTTTTATCTTTCATTTTTTAAAAATAAAAAGCTTTAAACAAAACCCACTAGATGTTAAATTATACAATTTGATTTGAAATGTACCAAATAATAGCAAAAACTGTCTATAATATTTCTGAATACACAATTTCTTGTAAACTGTTTCGTGAGCTGCTCATTTTCCTTATAAAATAATTTAAGTAAATTCTTTGAGGTTTAGAATAAAGGTAAATGTCTTCAAAAAGGAACTACAGTTGCTTCTGAAGGATGCTGGGAAATTGACAGGCCACAGTCACTTTAAGTTTATGACTAGTGGTTAGTTACTTTAGTCACTCAGACAGTGAAATTGGTTTGCATGATTATAACTTCTAAGCCAATTTTTTTTCTCCCTGTTCTACTCAGCACAACTAGGAAAATATTCTTTTTAGCCCCCTAAAGGAATAGGTGAGAAGGCAAGTTAAGCTCTCACTCACTGAGGATATATTTCTTGAGGGTACAAATTTACTGGGGAAAGAAATTCTTTTGGAATTCCCAACTGTGGTTAGACCCTATGTTTATGTCTTTTACCCCGATACTTTAGGTGGCCTTTGCACAGCTGGTATCTTCAAATTCCCCTAATTCCAAAATGGTCTCCATGGCAAAACTATTCCACTTCTCTATGGTTTTATTCTGATAATAACTTACCTTGAAGATCATCGATTTTAAGGAGATGCTTTCCCATCTACTAACAGGCCATTTTAGTTGTTTACAGCAGTAATGACATGCCAGAAACAGAAAGCCTATATTCACTCTTTGGTGTAGTTCAATACAGCTTCTGTATTCAGCAAAAGTTATTTTGCAAAGTCAGAAATGATTGATCAAACTATCCTATCAATTTGGCATTTTTTCATTTATATCTATCTCAATCTATCTATTTCCTGACATATCTGATTATTCTCTCCTCTTAAAGCCAGTTTTGGCTTCCACAACACTTTCCTATACCACTCCTAAATGATCATTCCTCAGGGCTCAGATCCCGGTATTCTCATTTCTATTTTTCCTCTGCCACCAATTTACCTGAAATTATCAACATCCATCTACTCAACTACTTTAATAGCCTCCTAATTGGATTTCTTCTGCTACTGTTGTCCCCATCTAATTCATTCTCCACCATACTAACCACAGTGATCCTTTAAAAATAAGATTGTGTCCTGCTGCCTCTGTAAAAGCCTTCAAAGTACCGATATAAACTTTCCATTAAAATCTGAAACCTACATGGCCAACAAAACCTTGTATGATCGGGCTCCTGTCTGTATACCCATAACTGTCCTCTTACATAATACTATAAACACACTGACTTGCTTTTCAGTTCCTTAAATATACCACGTCCTTTCTCATTTCAGAACCCTGACACTTGTTCTTCCCTCTTCCTAGAATATGGTTTACCTGCTCTTCACATGGTTTATTCTTACTCATACTTCAGATCTCACTATGACTCACTTTCTCACATGCATTCCCTGACAACCAAATCCAATAGCATCCTGTTCTTTTCCTTTAGAACACTTATCATACTCTGTGATTAAGTACTTACTGTGGGTTTACTTCAATGTCTGCCCTACCAATTATTTGTAAGAACTGGACATGCAGAGACTCTATTATCATCTTCCCATCTCAATTCCAGGACCTAGCACAGTGTCTGGCATACAGGAGTTTAATAAACAAATTAAATGATTGATTTCTTTTCCTTTAAGGGGACCCACAGGAATTACAAATAAGAGAAACAGGTTAGATAGGAATGTACGTAGGGATCAGGCAAAAATAAGACACTTAAAAACAGACCCATAATGTTTAGAGCCATATAGCTCCAAGTTTTGAATTAACTCATTACATGGCTTTTAATTATTATTGTCTATACTTTAAAGCAAATAATCACCTACAAATAGTCCATGTTTCACAAGGAAGGTGGTTTAAAAGTTCATTATTTGGAACCCTGAAAATATTTTCCCACAGAACCAAAATTATGTACATTGGTTAAATTCCTTTGGTTAGTTCATAATGTTAATCCATCATTCATTTATCCATTTTAACAAATATGAATTAAGCACTACTTTGTGCCAGGAACTGCTCTAGCATGGAGATACAGTAGTGTACAAAGTAAGACAAAAATTCCTATCCTCATAAGATCCTACAGCCATGTGATCAAGAGTGCAATGTACAGAATGGTAGATGGTGAAGAACAAAGCAGGGTAGAGGGATAAGGAATGGAGTGAGTGGAATTTTAACCTATTGTTGGCTGAATTTATTTCTATCCTTATCTGTTCCAAAAAGGATTTAAGTTAGATAATACTTATAGAATCTACGTATCACAAATAAAGTAACAATGATTATACAAGGGAAGACTTTCAACCAAAAAACTTTATAAAAACAAACTTCCTTTCCCACTGCAGGACACAGAAAACTGCTCAGGCTCAAAATCACTGACATGCTACCAACTCCAAAAAGGCAGTGGCCAGAGAAGAGGGTGAAAACACTGCTGGAAATTCTAGGAAGGAAAGAAATGAAGAAAAGGAAAGCACACTTCTTGTTGGTGATATGGACCTCCATGGACAGCCAGTCCCCTCTATTCAACCACTAGGTGGCCAGCTTTTCTCTTTCCTATTTGGCACATTATAGTTATGTAATTTTCCCCTCATTATATTATCTGCTAACTAAATACTTAACTTTTGGGGGGTTTCTGACCAATTTAATGGCAGAAAAGACCTCCTTTAATCCCTACCTGTATTATTAAAATTTGTAACAAAATAATGCAGATAGCCAGTTGACTACTCTGGCATTCTCATATTTTACCTTTTAACTGAGATAGGTGTTAGGATATTGGGTGAAAAGCAAGAAGATAAAAAATATAAAGTAAAACGAACAAGGTTTCAAATAGCACCCATAGCACCATAGTAATGATTGGACAAGGTGAGACAATCAGCCGGTTTAATTTTCTACATTTGCCCACAACCAGTTCCACAACCACAGAACATGCACCACAGACTAAGGTGGAAGGAGGCAACAAAAGCAACCTGGCTCTGAAGCCCTACTCATATATCTGTGGTGACTAAAGCCAGGTAAGGAATGAGCATGTAAACTAAGCCTTTCCATAACTTCAGTTTTTATTCCTTCTTATGAGAAAGAGCCTGATTATTTTCACCTGAAAAAAGCAAGGATTTTTAGTCAGAGTGCTAATGTTTTCTTTGTAATTTAAGTATTTATTTTACTGTCGTTTTAATAAAATTCTCAGTTTGTGACTATCAGATATATTTCTTGAAAATTTTCAAATTAAATATAATTTATATTTAAAATATTATAAAATAAAAGTTTAGGAAAATATAAGCAACACCAAACAGTCAAGCCATAGTATCAGCAGAAAGATGGCCAGAAACAATTACCTTTATAGCTGTGTGTGTGTTTTCATCTTCTTCCATCCACAGATCCTGCTCATAATAATACAAGCCATCGTTGATAACTTTAGCAAGTTCAGATGTAATTTTTGCCTGAGATGTGTAGTTGCCTGTTCGATCTCCTCCAGGATGCTTTCTCATGTAAGGTGGTGTCTGAGTTACAATCAAAATCTTGTTTAAATCATGGTCATCAATTTCATAATCTGAATCATTATCAGACCAATCAGTAAATGTGTTTTTTTGTCCTATATTCTCCATCTCTTCATCAAATAAAAAATCAAGTTCTTCTTGCTCTTGTTCATCTGGAGGACAGAGTTGATTTGATGCCTCTTCAGGTAGAGACGCCGATTCCTAAAAGGAGAAATTGGTTCTTTTATATAACAATTTTTCTATCACTTTTAAGATGTCACATAATAATGTTACAAGTAACATCAAGCTTGTGTGCTCAGTGGCTAGTTTAGCACCCAAATTGGAAAAGAAAAACAGCCAGTATTATTCTGAACCAATAAATGTGAAGTATTTGATAAGCACTAAAGAAAAAAAAAGTTGAGTAACAGAATTGTATTAAAGACTCTGAATTAGAATGGTCTTTCTGCTATCAATTTTAAGAGGAACAATTTTTTTTTAAATGTGGCGAGTTTAAATATGGAGGGAAAATACAGCTCTTAGAATGAAATATGGTACAAATTTTTTCAGTGAGTCCAGGAGACTACTCTCCCTCTCTAGTTATCCAGGTTTGCCATGACAAATACAAAAATTAACTAGAAAAGTCTTCAGAAAATCTTCTTTGGAAGAGTTTTGTTAGGTTTTTTAAATGCCCCCAAGGAAAAATAAACTCTTAACCTTTCTCTATGCTACATTTAACACTGCTAATTAAAATTATCTTTGATCAAGATTTATCAAACTTAGCACTACTGACATGGGCTTGATAACTCTGTGTGTGTGTGTAAAGGGGTGGCCTGTCCTGTGCACTGTAGGATGTTTAGCAGCTTCCATGACCTCCACTCATAAGATGCAGTAGCACTCTCCCAGTTGTAATCACCAAAAATGTCTCCAGATAACTGCCAAATGCCCCCTGGTGACACTCCCAGGTCCATCAGAGGAGAACCACTAATTCCTGCATTCTTCCTCTCTTCATGCTTTGACCTTAGGGATAAAGAGCCCTGTTCATAATAACCTGCAATATGATAGCGTTCATCACCATTTCTACATCTTCATTTGTGTTTGTGCTTTACAGCAGAGAAATTTTTGTCACCTTTAAGAGTTCATGCATCCAAAAATACAGCAGTTCTACCACAGGGCTGTATCCTATTGTTTCCTAACCACACCCATCTCACACCCACCAAGAAATGAACTTTATTTCCCTCTCCTATTGTACATCACCAAAACATATATAAAACCTGGTATTTATCCTTCACAGAGTTATTTGTATAGGAACTTTACAAATATTTAATGTTACAAATAACAAGGTCATAAATTCAAAATTTAGGTAGTTGCTTTTTAAAAAACTGAATTATTCAAATTTAAATTAGTAACAAGTAAAAAAGCCAAATTTTATCCAGAAAAGATAAATTTAAAAACTTGACACCACACAACTTATTTTCAGCTATTGAGTAACCCACAAGTTTTTACTAAAGGCCAATCGTTCCAATTTTTACAATTTCTAAAAACTTTTCCTAATTTTATATACATACCCGACAAACACTCCACTAGAATTTATCACACTTCACTTAGTTTATAATAACTTACCTTCAATTTCACTGGTGATGAACAATGTCTCTTTTTTACTTCTATCCAAGGTTCTGAGTCCAAGTCAGGCAAACTGGTAGATAAAACTCTAGTCATTGCTTGAAGATTACTTGTTTCATTACTTTTCTTTGGGTTCAGTGGACTTCCAATTCTTGGAGAATTGGGGGCAGACTCTAAAATTTTAAGTTAGTTCTATAGTTAAAATAATAGCTTTATTATTTATAAAACATTTCATTTTTGTTCCTTGGGCTTGATTTTTTTCACATATCATGATAAATCAACCTCAATTATAACCTTTCCAATGATTTTCAAATCTGAAGACCTTATAAGATGGATTCAAGTGAAACCAATGAATCATTAATGCAATGTCACCAGCCCTTACAAAGACCACATTCATTCAAACTTCTCAAGAATATCAACAAGTCACCAATATGACACTATATCAATTTGTGAGTCAATTCTCTGAAATCTGATATATTAAAATCTATGAATTATAATGAAATTATGGAATCTTGAAGCTATTAAGCCAGTTAGACTAAATACCTATTTTATTGTAGGCAAAAATCTGTCCACTGCTCTATTTTGAGACAGCCATTACTCCTATACTTTTCACATTTCCTTTGCTTGACAAGATTTACCTAAATGCAGTGTGCCCACTTAGCTCATACTGAATAAAGAGTAGAATGTCATATCATTAAAGTGCACTGCCCTGGAGAGCACCCTTCTATTTACTAGATGGGATGCTGCCCCATTCATGAATTGCTGAATAAAGCCAATTAGAGCTTTAAAATAAAAAATACATATAAAAGGTGCACTGCTCTGCACCTTTTAAAGCACTTTGAAACCCTGTTGGAATTAAAGCTGTCTTTCTCCACACTATCTTTTCTTTAATCAAAGTACACTCATAAGGCCCTGGCTGGTGTTACTCAGTGGTTAGAGCATCAGCCCTAGGACTGAAGGGTCGTGTGTTCAATTGCTGGTCAAGAGCAAGAACCTGGGTTGCAGATTCCACCCTGCCTCAGTTAAGGCAGGTGTGGGAGGCAACCAATTGATGTGTGTCTCTCATATTGACATCTCTCTTCCCCATTTCTCTCCCCCTTCCTCCCTTCCTCCCTCCCACTCTCTCTAAAAATCAATGGAAAAAAATATACTCTTGATTGAGGATTAACCAAAAAAAAAGTACCCTCATAAGTAAAATCCAAGCTGAGTCGTTTATAAACTTATTTTGCAAAAGTCAAAGACTATTTAAGTTATAATGCAATATGGACTTGCTTTGGATAAAAAGTGTTTTAAAAACAAATTTATATGGTAGAATTAGAAACGTTATTTATTCCTCAAAGCCAATTCCTTAGAAATTTTTGCAAAGTCGAATAGTTTCATATTTTTAAAAGGCTCTAAACTGCACTAATAGTAGCCACTAGCAACATGGAGCCACTCAGTCCTTGAAATGAGACTAGCCCTAAAATGTGCTCATGATAAATGTAAAATACACACCAGGTTTCAAAGACATGGTACAAAAAAAAGATCCATAATTTTTATACTAATGTTTAAGTAATATTTAGATATATTAAAATGTTTCATTTTAGAGGATGTTTATGTGAAACAAGAAAGGGCTGGGGAAATAAGCCTAGGCTGGTCTCCTTTGGCTAAGAAGTCAGAGAAAAGGGGGCCACTGGGACATATGTTTAAAATATTAAGTTCATTTATTTTGTAGCTTTTAAGGCTATTAAATTAGGCTGTGTGGCAAACATTTTATTTTATTGAATATTGATGCTCTACAATGTCCTTAATTAACGGTGTGTCATTACTTGATCCACAAAAGAAGAACTAGAAAAACACTAGTTTTGGGGCTGTATTATTCAAACTATAGAGAGCCCTATTCCTAATACTATGAATCATCCACACTCATGCAGTGAATAAAGCTTTAAAAGTAGACTCAGAACCACCAGCCTAGAAAGTGTATGAAAATTAAGTAAATTACCATTATGCATAGTGCATGCATAATTAGAACAGCAGCTGACCAGTGCTGGGGAAATCAGTTGCTACTATTTTTAACATAGATATTTAATCTTTTAACAACTACTTAAGTTTATTACATAATCATCTCTAAATGTTCCTTAAGCCAGAAGGTTTCTACCACAAGTCAAGTGTTCTTACTATATTCATAGCACATGTGCTTATAAACTACATTGAAATACCAAAGATATTGGGCAAGACAAGAAAAATTTAGTTTTTAAAAGGTGTTAAATTAAGCTATATATATGCTTTGTGTGATTTTGTTTTCTTTTACAATGAAAAGATTTCAAACTATTCGTGTGTAAATCTTAAGGGTAATAGTAAAACTCTAATCTTCTAAAACCAAATGAATTTGAATATGACTTGGGTTAATCGACATTAAATTTATAGACAAAATATTAGACACATACTTTGACATTTATGGCTTCTAGTTTGTGAGAACAACAGAAAAAAAATTATTGTCACTGTTTTCATTATCTGAAAATTGTCCAAATGACTCTCCAGAGATAAATCACCCAATACAGGGTGAGGCAAAAGTAGATTTACCGTTCTGAATACATGAAAGTTTATCCTTCTATCATTTATTACATTATTGTATTAGTTTCCATAGGAACTGTAAACCTACTTTTGCCCCACAGTACACATTCCATGATACTGACCTTTCATGACTTTTTTATCCGCCCTGAATCACAGTTCTGGGTAATTACATAGATTGCTTTAAAAGGATTACATGCTTTACGTGTGCCACATTCACAAATACTTCTGTAGATTAACTTTTCAAAGAAAATTCCACAGCTTAATAATCATTAGGGAAAATCCTATACATTTTTAAATGCCAAATAGAAACAAAAAAACAAACAAGAGTGTCAGGTACCTGACCTCTAAATTTTGGTGAATGAAATTCTTTTACTATTGATAGTACAATACTATATCCATAGAACTGCAAAACCTAAATTTCAGGACACCTTACCATTCCCATAATCAACCTTTTCTGGTGCATTAAGGTCCTCTGTTCAGCACAAAGGTCAATCCATGTTAGACAATTCAAGTCCATAGAGAAGAAAAATAGAAATTTTAATTTTGATAAAAAGGACCAAAATTTATAAATATTTTACCACACAAGTCCCTTAGAAAATATACCATCAAAGGTTATGTTTTTGAAATGCAAGGTCTTCTCACTTGAGTAAAAAGGATATAGATAAAAGTTTCACTACTTTTCTCTACATATGAGTACAAATAATCTAAATTTTCTATCCCTTATTTCCATTTCAAATATGTGGTGACAGTACAATCTACTGAATTTAGGAACCTAAGGCTTTCTTATCAGAGGAGAATTGTTAAGGTCAGAAATTTGGGTATTCACAGGAAAAGGCTGAATTTACTAATTATTCCTATGATGTAATGTGAGTAAGCATAATCCAAGGACATTCCATCTTTCTATAATGCCTTCATTATCCATCTGGTTTCTGATGTATAATCTAAAGAACTTAATATTTTTTAACATTTTAAATATACTTTGAATTGTTTCAGGCAATATGTATGTGTGTGTAAATGAGTATATTAAAAAAAGACAAAAATTTACAAGACATTGTGATTTTATTCCTGTAATTTTATTAATAATGAATAAACGGCTAATGAACAGGCATCACCAACTTGACTGACTTATCTTAGCTACTCTGTGGAAGAAGTGTTTTCTATTTTAACTAACTCAACTAATGCCTGTTCATAAGCAGGTTAAAAATATCATCTTGGACCCCACATTTACACAATAAATTAATCTAACTTATACAGACATCATATCTTTATTAAAAAACCTAAAAAATGTCACTATTCTTCAAATTTTAAAACATTTGCCCAAGTTGCTTTCTAGGTTCAGAGGCACAGAGGGCTGACAATCAAAGAAACAATAAATAAAAATATTTGTGAGACTATCCATCAGTGCTTTTCTGATGGCAGGTGCCTCATACTAGTGTATCAAAAATAAATCTTAAAGAGTGAAAAAAATACTTTCATTTCTTAAATTTCTTTTCGCTTAGTGTCCACATTAATAAATCTTAAAGTCCATGTGAAATATTATGACAACATGTGAATTATACAATGTACACTATACTGAAGGTCAATTAAATAGCAAAGGACCTAACAATCTGGGAAATGCCACTCAAGCCTATTTCTACTTTATTGATCTGGACACAAGTACATAAGTCTAAAAGGAAAAGACAGAATCTTGTAATATTTCCAGAATGAAAATTAACTTTCCCACCGTGAATAAAAAGTAGTACATGCAGCCCAGGCTAATTACACACAAATGGGCAGCTCCTATAAAAACAACAGCAGTCCTCTGGTCTCTCTCATCACCATCATCACATAGGTGTTTATCTCCACTGTAGTGTTGGCCCAACCTCCTCCACAAGGAGTTGGGAGTAGACATTCTTGCACAGAAGTAACTCTGGTCGATTTCATTTCTGCAGCACGATTTGTTCCAATATTTATAATGATATTTCAGTGAGTCACCTATTCCTCTGCATATTCCGATCAAATGACATCCAAGAGCATCAGTAGATCATCACCCTGACTGAAAAAAGTTTAAGCACACATATTTTTTCCCAAGAGGGAATGTCTTAAAAATGATCCAGGAAAAAAATCTTAACATTAAAGCAGTTTTTGGAAATTCTAAATACCACCAATTCTTTAATCAATAATTGTAATAACTTTGTAAGAGAACCCCAATTATGCATTAGAATATAGGTAGGTTATCTCATCTTTTCAAGACATAGCTGAAGCCCATTGGTAAGAAAATTAAAGAAAGTCCACCCCACTCTGAGGTATAAGACTTTTAGATTATTCCAATCCTACTGAACTATTCCAAGATTACATGAGGAAAACTAGCACAATATATCTATAATCATGTAGTAAAATTAAGAGAAGACAGGTACAAACTCAGACCTTTACTCATAATTCTTAAATCCCAATTTAATTTATAGTTCTGTGTGGGAGACAATTATGAACAGAATTTAGAGCATCAACAGTCATTTCGTTATCTTTAAAAAGATAGGTAACCTGCATCAAAAAGCCCACTGTTATACTGTTTGCTCTAGAAAAAAAGCTGTTACCTGTATGTGAATAAAAGGCTTGGCCTGGTACAAACTCTGGGCAGTCAATCAGTTGAGAGAAGTCTGTTTGTGGCACCCTACGTGGAGGAGGGCCCGGAATTGGCCATTTTTCTGGTTCTATCTTTTTTCTCATTTTCTCGTCCACAATTTCCACTTCTGTGCTATCTTTCAGTGCCTATAAATAGGAATTTTGAGCTATTAAATAACTTTCATTCAAAAATTTAAATTGCACATTATTTTCAATAACCTAATAATTCTATAAGTTACTCCTATATTTCATAGGTGAGAACACTAAAGCTCAAAGAAATAAAGTACAGCAGTTCCCCCTCTATCTGTGGCTTCGCTTTCTGTAGTTTTAGTTACCCATGGTCAACTGTGGTCCAAAAATATTAAAGGAAAAATTCAAGAAATAAACAATTCATAAATTTTAAATTACACACATTGTTCTGAGTAGCTTGATGAAATCTCACACTAGATGTGAATTGTCCGTTTGTCCAGCATATGCACACAGACTATTAATCAGTCAGCAGCCATCTGCATTATCAGGTCGACTGTTAACAGTATCACAGTGCTTGTTGCAAAAGTCACCCTTTTTCCTTAATAATGGCCCCAAAGTACAAGAGCAGTGATGCTGGCAATTCAAATATGCCAAAGAAAAACCATAAAGTGTTTCCTTTAAGTGAAAAGGTATGTATGTATACGAAAAAACTTAGTACATGCAATATACATATGGCTTGGTACTATCCATAGCTTCGGGCATCCACTGGGGTCTTGGACAGTATCTCCAGAAAAGAGGGGACTACGGTAACTTGGTATCCCCAGAAAAGGGGGGACTATGGTAACTTGATAAAGAGCACATATTTAGTATCAGATTTAGTATGACTTAGGACTCAAATCATTTATCTGTCCACCAGGAGAAGTCTTAGCCACTAGACTATGGGGTTTCTCAAAAATAAATGTGCTTAACTTTAAGGCTAAAATAAAACTAGAACAAAATTTCTTCAAAATAAAAATTAAAGCCTTACTGATCTGAATTTTAACTAAAATTCAAGGGTACTCACCATTTAGAAATACAAATATGATATAAAAACTCAACATACACACGTGTTTACTTTATTAAGTTAAAGCTTGTTATATTTTAGTTGAAGAACACGTATGTATTACTTTTAAGAATCTTATATTTTGCCCAGCCAGCATGGCTCAGTGGTTGAGCACTGACCTATGATCCAGGAGATCTCAGTTCAATTCCCAGTGAGGGCACATGCCTAGGTTTTAGGCTAGATCCCCAGTGGGCGGCATGTGGGAGGCAGCCGATCAAAGACTCTCATCATCATTGATTTTTCTATCTCTCCCTCTCCCTTCCTCTCTCTCTGAAATCAATAAAAACATTTTTAAAAAATCGTATTTGTATACCCTTAATAATAGTACAGTATTTACTTCTCAAATTATATTTTCCACAACTGGACATAACTTTAAAAATAATATTAAACATTATTTAAAACAAACTTTTGATGGGAATCAGAATACTCACGGAAAGAGGAGCCTAAAAATACAAAAGGAACTAAGGAAGAATTCTACAGTAAAGGGTTTGAATTACTTGTTTTTCTAACATACACTTTACTAGTTTTGCCCACTGAACACTCTCTCTAAGCAATAACATCCCAGCAGCAAACCAGTATAACCCAATATCCAGATCTTGCAAAGACATGGATGAATTTCAAAAACTACAAATAAAAGAGCCAGCAAGATAGAAGAACTCCATTTACACAAGAACAGGCAAAGGCAATCTAATCTATGCTAACCAACCAATGAATGTAAAAATAAGTAGAACAACAAATCTCTCAAACTTAAAAACAAGTTATACAGAAAAAAACACTCATTATACTATGAAGATAATTTTGCTCCAAAACTAAACATTATAGGGAAAAACAAAATTTTCTTCAAATTAGAGTATACAGAAACTTTATTTGAATAGTATCTATAAACAAATGCATTAACAACACTGCATCAAGTAATTTTTTTTAATAAAAGAACTCATTAATTACGTATCAACAAATAGTCACTAGTTTAGTGTTTTGAAAACCTGTACTTAAGCATGCAGCATGTGTGTTCAAAAAAATTTGCTATAGAAGTCTTAAGAAAAGATGAACCCTGTCCGGTGTGGCTCAGTTGGTTGAGCGTCGACCCAAAAGCTCACCATTTTGATGCCTGGTCAGGGCTAAGGTTGTAGGGGGGATTCTCAGTGGGGAATCAATGTCTCTCCCCCTCCCTCCTTCATCCTTAAAATCAATAAAAACATATTTTCTAAAGAGGAGACCAAGAACATTTTTTAAAAGTGAAAATGAAAATGAAAAGAGTCAAACACTGGGAAAAATTATTTGGAAAATACACATAAAAGATTTGTAGGCAGAATAAAGAACTCTTTACAATTTTATTATTTAAACACACACACAAAACACACACACAAACACTCCAATAAAAGTAGGCAAAAGATTTGAACAGACATTCCAATAAATTATGTACATCAATGGCAAATGAACACATGAAAAGATGTTCAACATCATTAGCCACTAGGGAAATGCAAATTTAAACAATGAGAAATCACTACAGATTTATTTTTAAAAATTGACAATACCTCATCATGGAGCAAATGAAACCCTCATACAAAACGGGCATGCAAAATGTTCAAACCCACTTTGGACAATAGGTCGGCAATTCATCTTTCTTCCCCCAATTTTTTTATTTGGTGGGGGGGAGATGGGGAGGAAGGGAGGAAGAGCGAGGGAGAGAGAAACACTTGATTTGTTGTTCCACTTACTTATGCATTTATTGGTTGCTTCTTGTATGAGCCCTGATGGGAGATCTAACCCACAATCTTGGTATATCGGGATGATGCTCTAATCAACTGAGCTACCCAGCCAGGGAAGGTTGGCAATTTCTTATAGTACAGATATACTTACCATACATTCAAGCAATCACAATCATCAATATTTACCCATTAGAAATGAAAACATATATGTCCACATCATCTCTAAAAACTGGAAACAATCTCAATGTCTATCATCAAGTGAATGGATAAACTGGTACTGCAGAATTAGTCAACAATAAGAAAAAACAAACTACTGATACATGCAACAACATGAATCAACCTTAGCACTAAACTAAGTGAAAGAAATAAACAAAAGGCTACAAAATAAATTATTTATATGATATTCTGGAAAAGGCAAAAGTCGAGTGACAAAAATCAGGTCACTAGTTCCCAGGTGCTAGACATAGGGAAAGGGACTGGCTACAAAGGGGCACAAGGGTATAAGTCTGTGAAAGCTCATAGAACTATACAGGAAAAAGGGCAAAATAAAAAATGCTGAATGCATTTCTAGAACAGGACAGAGATTTAATAAGAGCATAAAGAATACAAGTAGAAAGACTTTGTAAATTAGCCTGTTTCATGTTAAAAATTCTCAAAAATTTGAAAAATGAGAACACATGCTTTTATACAAGTGGGAGACTAAAGGACCAAGAACAGCCAAGAATATTCAGGTTTGAAGGATAAGTTTTAAAATAGGTGGAAACATCATTAATAATTATTTAAGGGGTTTCCAAGGTTAGAAATTTATTTGAGCTTTGTAAAATGGGAAAAAGCCATGAGATACAGTCTAAGCCTTAGGCAATGACAGTTTTAAATGGTTTTCCTTAAAAATTTCAAAAGTATTTATTTTTTAGAACAGTTTTAGGTTCACAGCAAAAACAAAAAGTGCAGACCGCTTTATCTTGTTTTGCAAATGTATAATTACCTCTAAAATGAGATTAAGGTTTGTAGTGAGAGCCTGAACACGGTGGAAACCAGCAATCAGGGAAATAGGCAAGAAACCTTGTTCATCCATCTTTCTCCTAAGAAAGAAATCCCGTTCCAAATTTTCTATACTGAAGTAATATTCACTAAAAAAATAACAAAATATAAATTTCATTTATTCAAAAGGAAATAAAAATATCTATTGCTTATAACATCAGCCTCAAATAACCTATTTTAATAACAACATTATATAGATTTAATATAACACAGGAAAAATATAAGAAATGACAGCACTTATACATGGAATCTAAAGAACACTATAAATGAACAAAAACAAAAACGGACTCAGATACAGAGAACAGACTGGTGGTTGCCAGAGGGGAGGGTGGTTGAAGAAGTGGGTAAAAGAGGTAAAGAGATTGAGGAGCACAGATTGGTAGTTACAAAACTCGAAGTCATGGGGATGTAAAGTATAGCATAGGGAATATAGTCAATAATATTGTAATAATTGGACATGGTGCCAGGTGGACACTGGAAATATCAGGGGAACACTGTAAAGTATGTGATTAGCTAACCACTATAATGTACACCTGAAATTAATACAAAGTAATATTGCATGTAAATTGTAATTGGGGGAAAAAATAGCAAAATCCTACCGAGTTAATAATCCAAAATATATATGAGTAGAAAGAAATTTAGAATACTGATTATCTCCCAAAAAACTAGTAACTTCCATACAAATCACCTTTACCTAAGAATTAACCAACACATTAAAAGTTCAATAATTGATTTTTTTTGGTAATGTTTTTATTGCTTTCAGAGAAAGGAAGGGAGAGATAGAAACATCAATGATGAGAAAGAATCATTGATTGGCTGCCTCCTGCAGCCCCACACTGGGGTTAAGCCCATAACCCCAGCATGTGCCAGAACCGGGAATCGAACTGTGAACTCCTAGTTCACAGGTCGAGGCTCAACCACTGAGCCATGACAGTTGGGCCCAAGTTGTTTCTTTATACTCTTGTATTTATCCTACTATCAGAGTGCAAAGCTCCCTTAGGTCAGTGAAATACTACTGACGTTTCAGCAACATTAGTAAGTCATTTACTCCTCAACACTGAAGAAAAAAATCTAAGTCTTAAAAAAATTAAACATTCTGAATTTGTTATACTTCAAAATCCCTTTCACAGTGCCTGGCATGTGGTGAGCACAAAATACATATGCTTAAACTCCAAATTTTCAATCATTAAGACATTTTATTTACTCACAAGTTACAACTGATCTTTAAACAAAAAACTCCTCTGAATCATTAATAAGATGCCTTTTAATCTAGTACTTTGAAAAAAACATGGTATATAAATAAATTAATAAATCACCCTATTATCTATAGAATGTATTTTTTTGAAACTTCTCATAAACATACTTATATCTAAATCTGAATGCCAAGGACTGTCAATGCCAGAAATAATCAAGTCTTACATTTTTAATATTCTGACATCAAAAATAAAAACTAATATTTTCAGTAATAATTATTTTAAAAATTAAACCATCCATAATCAACTAAGACTCATACTTCAAAATTCATTTAGCATAATTTTCCACAAGTAGTAGTTTTTCAGTAACTTCTTAAAGAGAAAAATGTAAACCCTAATCAATGAGTCTACTCTATGAGAAATATCAAAGACACAAAGTCAAAAGCAGGACTCCTCAAATTCAGATGTCCACTAATCAAACGACGATAACAGTAAAGAGCCATTCTAAATCTGGTGCTCTAACGTCTGCCAAAAACCCTACTGCTAAAACAGTAACAAAAAAAAACAGTCATGCCCAGTGCCGTGTCTGACATTTTGTTCAGTGTCCTAGGGAATATTACCATGTCCTACAGTAAGAAGTGGGTTCTACACTGCATGACCAGTAATTAGTCAACATTGAAGTAGCTTTGTTCCTCCCTCACTCATATGAGCACATGAGGCTGATTATTCTGACATGCAGTTGCATGTCCACTGCCAGGTATCAGAAGGGACCTGGGAGCAAGAGTTACAAAAAGATAGAAATAGTGGTTTGAAGTTGATAACCCCATGCCAGGCACTTTCTGCCTATAAAAAGGTCCTTTTTCTTCAGTGTTTGCAGCAACTGTAACAAAGCAAGAACAAAATAAACAAGATGCTTCATATTGTAAGCCAATCAAATCCACAGGGAGATGTCTGGATGATGACACTGATAAATTATTTTCTAGTGACAAAGTAGGGCCCATTTCCTTTCTTAAATAAAGATAGTGTTTTTAAAATGCTTATGCACTTTCAAAAATAGCTTTTTGCATTCACCTTGTAAGGATACAAAAATTAAAATTTCAGCAAATCAGCCCTGGCCAATGTTGCTCAGTGGTTAGAGCATCAGCCAGTGCAGGGAAAGGCCACAGGTTTCATTCCCTGGCAAGGGCATGTACCTGGGTTGCAGGTTCAATCCCCAGCCCTGGGTTGAGGGCTCAAGCAGGAGGCACCAATTGATGTGTCTCTCTCACATCGATGTTTCTCTCCCCCCCCCACACACACACCTCCTTCCCTCCCTCCTACTCTAAAAATCAATTAGAATAAATATCCTCTGGTAAGGATTAACAAAAAAAATTTTCCCCCCAGCAAATCAGTTATGCAAATCACTTGGGGACATTTTTGACCATTATATAAACATTATATAAATATGCGAAACATCCTATACTATACTAATATGCAGGGGGGTTATTTTCTCTTAAAGACAACGGAACTAATATCCTCCTAACCAACTTCAATATTCAGAAAGCTATTATGATAACTAGATAGAGTAAGGGAGTCTGAAAAAAAAGATAACCTATCACTATTTTTTTGCCGTTCATATTCATTTGCAAAATTTGCAAATAAGCCCAATTTACTTGTTCAATTTTGATACAGTTCTGATAGTTTTCTACTTAATTACTGATAATTATGCCATGACATTAGAATACCTTTTAAGCAAAGAAATACCTAAACAGTAGACAAAGCAGTAGTCACATAAATAACATGAACCAAATATACATTTAAAAAAAATTTTCACTAATTTTAATCCTCACCCGAGGATATTTTTCCTTTGCTTTTCAAAAAGAGAGCGGGAAGGGGGTGGGGGGGAAGGGAGGGAAGAGAGAGAGAAACATAGATGTGAGAGACACATCAATTGGTTGCTTCCTGCATGTGCCCATACCAGGGTGGGGATCGAGCCTGCAACCAAGGAATGTGCCCTTGGCCAGAATCAAACCCAGGACCCTTCAGTCCTCGGCCTGACACTCTAACCATGAGGTCAAACCAGGTAGGGCCAAAGACTACTTATTTTACCAACATTTCCTTAAAAAAAAAACAATACAGCCCTGGCTGGCATGGTTCAGTTGGTTGGGCAGAGTCCTGTGCACTAAAAGGTTGATGGTTCACTTCCTGGTCAGGGCACATGCCCAGGTTTTGGGCTGGATCCCCAGGAAGGGGTGTTAAGGAGGCAGCCAATAGAATGGATGTTTCTCTCTCTCCCTTTCCCTTCTTCTCTAAAATTAATAAAAACATACTTTTTTTAAAAAAACAATACAAAATGCTATGAAAATCCAGCAATTTTACTAATAAACAACTTACAAAATGTGTTAGAACAGATTCACTATCAGTGATATTAAAGTTTGACACTGCAACAAATTTTATCATTCCATCCACTTACGTCTGATCAACTTACATTTGGCGCTTAATATACTCTTTAAGCAATGCTTCTTCCACAGGATATACCTGTACGCCTGTACCATCATCATAGTAATACATCATACTGGTATTAAGTTCTGTTTGAAATGGTTGATCAGTCCTTTCACCATGCTCTCGATAACCATATGAATAATCAAAATTCACTTGATGTGAATAAAGAAAAAGAAAGTGGTCACATATTTTTTTAAAAACAGAAAAAATAGTTACTATAAAGAAAAATTCAAAGCAGAGTATAGTATTTCAAGGAATAACAAATATAAAACCATCTATATCATCAGACAAATAAATCAGTAAAACATGAGATAGTGGAGAAAACTACGACGGAGGGCTTGCACACGTTCTTCAAAGTTCATTTAAATTTAAAAAAACAAAAAAGTCACGTCATACATCGAGGATTTCCTCGTCCTCGGCCTCTTCCGCGTCCTCGGCCTCGTCCTCGTCCTCTAGAGGAGCCTCGGATATTACCACCTTCACTTCTCACACTGGAAACTTCATCTTGATCATCTCTCTTTTCTCTATCACGTCTCCAACCTTTTTAAAATAAAAATATTTTTACACATTCCAATTTGCAGCTATGAATAACATGATTATCTTTATGAAAATATGGTAACTACCCACCCCTCCCCCACTTTGTAACTAGTTATTAGTAACCAGGAAATCTTTAGATAGCTAAAAACTTGAGATCCCATAGAAATTTATCAAAATGTCCCAGGTATAAAAGGGAGCCCATAAAAGTACTGACATATAAAACAGAAATTCTAGTAAGTAAAAGTAACATACTAAAAAGATAAGTTCTTTGCTAAGACTGCACTGTCAAATTACCAAGGAGTTCCAAGATGACTGAGCTTACACTATATAAAACTCCTTTAAAAAACTATTTTCATAGCCCAGCCAGGTGTGGCTCAGCGGATCCACGGAGCATCGACCTAGGATCCAGGCAATCGGGGTTCGATTCCCGGTCAGGGCACATGTCCGGGTTGTGGGCTAGATCAATGACTCTCTCATCATTGATGTTTCTATCTCTCCCTCTCCCTCTTCTTTCCTCTCTCTGAAATCAATAAAGATATACTGGGGGGAAAAATAATTTTCATAAACTGTTTAAGGAAAGGGTGTTTCTATTTAAGTAAAAGACATTTTAAAGAAAAAAGAAAAGAAAAACACAAAACATACTGGGAGAAGATATCTGCAATACAATATAAAAATTATATCCAGAATATACAGAAGTCATACAAAGCTCTTATATACAAACGCACACATGCACATACACCACAACTCACGGTAAAATAGCTAAGAGACAGGTAGGGCAACCTAGGAAATGCAAATAAGTATAGAAAATTTTATCTGCCCCATTCTGACAAACATTTTAAGGTCCTGCCAATATCAATTGTTGACCAAGATAGTAAAGACAGAATATTTATATACTGCTAGTAAGAGAAAAAATGGACACATCCACTGTCAAAAACCATTTTGGAATAATTAACAAATTTGAAGGTACATGTACTGTAAAGATTGGGGTTTTCAACCTTGGCAACATTGACATTTTGAGCCAGATAACTGTATAGTTTGGGGAGCTGTTCTGCAATACTGTAGGATTTTTAGCATCATCCATGGCCTCTATCTACTAGATACCAGTAGCACTCACTTACCTCCCAACACTCCCCCCTCCTGTTGTGAAAACCACTGTTATTTCCTTGGGAGGAAAATAAAAATCACTTCCATTGAGGATCACTGACCTAGACCCTGCAATTCCTCTTCATAATACAGTCTTTTCCAAATGTTTTTGCCTGAACCATAGTAAGCCTATTTTTTAAACCCTTACCCAAGGACATGTTTATTGATTTTAGAAAAAGAGGAAGGGAAAGTGAGAGAGAAAGGAAGTCGGAGAGAAAGAGAAACATCTACTGGTTGATTCCCCACTGGAGACTGAACCTGCAACCTATATGCCATGAAAGGGAATCAAACCCAAAACCTTTTTGGTATACCAGACAATGCTCCAAGCAACCAAGCCACCTGGCCTGGACCATAGTAAACTGTTATACTGTAGTATACAAGCAAATTTTTTTGTAATTTAAACACAACTGTCATAAAAAAATTTACTATGTGAAGTCCTAAAGGCTCTCTATTTTTTGAAACACTTGATTATGATCCAATACACCAATTTCATAATACATCTTTATAGATTGCAGTCTGAAGAAATTACCCTAGAGAACAGGTTTACTGGAAAACATGAATAAAAATGTTCATGAAAGCACTTTAATATCAAGAAATTGGCAACAATTCAAAATGTCCACCAACAAAACAGATTATATCAAATAGTGAAATACCATTTAGAGGGGGGAAATAAAATAAAAAAAATGAATGAATCATTGCGATACAGCCAACATGTATAAAATCTAAGTAAGTAAAGCCCTGGCTAGTGTGGCTCAGTTGGCTAGAGCATCGTCCCATACACCAAAAGGTTGTGGGTCCGATTCCTGGTACCCCAGGGCATGTGTAGGAAGCAACCAACTGATGCTTCACTCTCATAATCAATGTTTCTTTCTTTCTCTAAAGTTAAAAAAATTCGTGCCAAAGAATACGTAAATGCAGTCATACTGGATGTCAATTTCAAAAAAAAAAATAAAATAAAATAAAATAAAAAAACACACAAAAATTTTAAAAAATAACCGCTCATGCTTTTTGTTTTTTCTGAGAAGGGAGGTAAGGCGATGAAACTGCAGAAGGCACACAAAAGTTTAAGGTAATGCTAAAATGCATTTATAATGTTGTTCTTCATAACCTTGTATACAGAGCAGGGGAAAGTAGCTATATAGTTGTTAGTATGGAGAAATATATATAAGAATAAATAATAAACTCTGTTTCAAATACAACAGTAAACCTACTTTTGCCCAACCCTGTATTTTCTAATATATCCAATATTTAAATAAAAATTTCAATTTTGAATATATTGCTTTTAGAATAAAACATTCTAAAATGGTATATTTGAAAAACAATGATACAACAATATCAGGCAAATATTTCTGTAAACAGCTTTTATTAATTTAAAGGAATATTTTGTGGAAAACTGAGTAAATATAACTACTGACTAGAGTTTAGATAAAATTAGGGAATTAGTGTTGATTTCCTTAGATGCTGTATTTTCAAGACATCAGAGCTAATGTGTCATGATATTTGCAGCAAGTTACTTTCAAATGATTCAGCAGATGGATGAATTAAATATAGCAAACTTACTAAATCTCTCTAGTGGTTAGCCAAGTATTCACAGTACAATTCTTTCTACTTTCGTGTGTTCAGATTTTTTCCTATCATAATTAGAAATTTTTAAGTGATAATATCATGTTTCTAAAATTTTCTTAGGCCTTCTCCATTCATAGGACAATGTGCCTTAAAAATGATCAGACTTAAAAGATTGTAGCAGAAAACTATAAAACCTCATGAAATGCTCATTTAATTGCTTCTACATATTTCCTGTCTTTCGCTTTCAGAAATCTGAGCAAACTCTGTTGAAATAATATATCTGGGAAACTATTTTCAATGAAAATAATACCATTAAATGAAAAGTTGATGGGACATTTATGATGGATAGATAAGGCTAATAACACCTGAATCAAGTCTACCTTAAGAGAACTGAATATGAGATATCTAGACATATTAGTCCAACTGCTGTGATACATTAAGACAAACAAAATATGAAGTATTATTACCAAAACAAAAATAAACCTGAACCTAATCTAACCTCCAGCTCTTATTACCAGTAATATGTAGGAATGATAAAAGAACATGTTAAAGAATATCATGACCAAAGCAATTAGCAAAATCCAAAATACGTGAAATTCTGTAAGACATATGACCTAACAAATAGCAATGGGAAAAAACACTGCGTATCAGAATGTGAAATTGTACAAACCAATTTGGAAAACAATCTGCAAATTTCTCAGAAAGTTAAATATGCACTTACCATACCAAGCCAGCCCTCCTAAGTATTTAACTGAGAAACTGACACATATGCCCACACAAAGACTTGTACCTAAATGTTCACAGCAGCATTACTTATAGTATGCAAAAACTGGAAACAAGTCAAATATCCATGAATAGACAGACGAGTGGATAAAGGGGTACATATCCATTCAACAGAAAACTATTCTGCAATAAAGATACAGAAACTATTGACACATGAAACATTACCAATGAGTCTAAAAAACATGTTCAGCAAAAGGGCACACAAGAGTGCATAATATATAATATACAGTTCAATTTTTATGAAATTGTAGAAAGGGCAAGAAAGGACAGAAAGTAGATTTGTGGTTGGGGAAAGTAACAGTAACATGAGTGCGTTTTAATATATATGATTTAAAAAGGATCCAGAAACCACCCTGAATAGGCTTCTACTAGTCAAATCAGAGAAAATTTGAATATCAAATTAAATAAAAAAATAAGTCCACTCTAATAATAATCGGAAATCGTTCTTTCAAGTGGAATGCAAACAAATAAGGAAGGAATAAAGCAGTAAGAAAAAAATCAATATTTGCAACTATCATGGTAATAACTGAATCAGGCAAGACTCATCAATGAAAACTAAAGCTCACGTGAAAAGTCTTAGATTCCCACATCAAAGTCTTGTTCCACAAATAACATTAATTACAAAGGAGAAAGAGTATCTTTACAATAAAGAAGTCTGGAGTACATCAACTTATTAAGGGCTTAAAGTTATCATCACCAACAAAATAAAGCAAGATCATGTGCAGTTCCATGTGATGCTCAGAGAAAAAAAACCACTTAACTTTTGTAGTACTCCTGCCAAAAACTCATAAGCCAATCCAACTATGGGGAAACACCACAAAACCCAAAGTGAGGTATATCTGTTCTGCAGTCTTCAGAAAAAAATCAATGTCATACCCTGCCGGCATGGCTCAGTGGTAAAGCATCGACCTGCAAACCAGGAGGTCACAGTTTGATTCCCAGTCAGGGCATGTGCCTGGGTTGTGGGCTCGATCTCCAGTAGGGGGCATGGGGGGGTCAGTGGATCAATGACGCTCTCTCTCCCCCCTCTCCCTTCCTCTCTCTGAAATCAATAAAAACATTTAAATTTAAAAAATCAATGTCACAACAGACAAAAGCAAAAGAACTATTCCAGACTAATGGAGACTAAAGACAAAAGACAACTAAGAGCAATGTGTGATCCAGATTAGATCCTAGAAAAAAGAGGGGGAAACCAGTAAGGGACATTATTGGAAAAATCTGTCAGTGGACAGTCACACTGCATTACTGTTCTCACAATATATACTCTGAAGGTATTTGGGGTTAAAGAGGAACAATGTCTGCAACTTACTCTCAAAGAGTTTACACTACACATGGCCATTAAAATAATAAGCATTAAGAAAAAGTTCCTTAGTTATTCTTCTCTTAGAGTGTAACTTACTTCGTGTATCACTTCTCCTATTGTTATGTGATGATTTATTTGTTTCAGGTTGACATCTTGAGCTGTTTCGGGATCCTGGTCTTTCTTGACTATCTGGTCTTACATCATCTAAGTGGAGTGGTACCCACTTGTGCTTATTAGCTTGAAGAAAACAAAATAGAATCATTTAATGACAACGCACAATTTTAAATCAAACTTTGTACTTTTGAAAGGACTCTTGAGGTATCACCTCACACCTGTTGGAATGGCTATCATCAATAAATCCACAATCAAGTGCTGGCAAGGTTATGTAAAAAAAGGAACCCTTGTGCACTGTTGGTGGGAATGCAGATTGGTACAGCCACTGTGGAAAGCAGTATGGAGTTGCCTCAGAAAATTAAAAATGGAACAGTCTTATAACCCAGCATTTCCACTTCTGGGTATATATCCGAAGAAACTCAAAACAGTAATTTAAAAGAATATATGTACCCCTATGTTCATTGCAGCATTATTTACAATAGCCAAGATTTAGAAGTGGCCAAAGAGGCCCTCAGTAGATGAGTGGAGAAAAATGCTGTGGTACATTTACACAGTGGAATATTACTCTGTTGTAAAAAGGAAGGAAATTTTATCCTTTATGACAGCATGGATGGTCCTGGAGAACATTACGCTAAGTGAAATAAGTCAGCTAGGAGAGCAGGCAGACAGCTCTGGTGGAGGGAATGGGTGTTTGTGGAGGAGGGGTGAAGAGATTGAGCAAAAAAGGAGGGGAAAAAGAGAGAACTCATGGACAACTGTGGTGACTGCAGTGGGGTGGGGAGGTGGGAAAGGGTATAAAGGGGATATATGGTGATGGAAAAAATAAAATAAATAAAAAATTAAAAAATGAACTCTAAATTTAAATTAAGAGACTTAATTTGTTCTTAAAGAGATTATCTGTAGAGCACCCAAAATTATTTTCTTCTTATACAGCTCCATAAAGTATTTTGTGCAAATAATATTTCTAAAAATCAAGTGAAAAATCCAGTGGTAAAGTATCACTGGAATTCTTTTGCTTTTAAGTAAAATGCTCACTCTTCTGTTTATTTCTAATGGATAAGGTATTCAAGAATAGTACATGCACACACTACTCCCATCGAACATTTGATTCTTAGGGCTTGATAATGGGGTATACCTGTTAAGACATAATGTACACAGTGGAAAGCTTGGATAGTGATTCAAAAACTTTGTTTTAAATTACTATCTAAAATATTTACTTATCCAGCATTACTACTACTAAAAGAAGTTTCTCAAAATTAAAGTATAAAATGTGTCTAATTGCATTTAATAAATCTTTTTTAAAGCTACTATACACATTTTCCTAACTTCTTAAGAGATATAAGCAACTTAACTTTTCTTGTTGACTAAAAGACAGTGTAATTGTTATAGTGTAATTCTCAAGATTACCTATTCATGGATTCCACAGTTAAGGTTACAAAATGTTCAGTCTTTTGACCAATATATTTTTTTGACTAAACAAAAGACTCATAAGCAATGGAAACACTATTAAGGTAATTAAGGGAAAGAGAATATTTAGTGTGCAACTACAATACTGACTTCCTATAAATCCTACAACATATGGACAGATGAGGAGAATATGAAATAATCTAAAAACTCTACAAATTGTATCGAGATTCTTTGGCATAAACAAGCCTTTCATTTGAAGATAAAAATGTGTGCTCTAGCCCAGCTGGTGTTGCTCAGTGGTTGAGCATCGACCTATGATCCAGGAGTTTGAGATTGACCAATTCCCAGTCAAGGCACATGCCTGGGTTGCGGGCTCCGTCCCGGGGGGAACGTGCAGAAGGCAGCTGATTAATGACTCATCACTGATACTCTTCTCTCTCCCTTCCTCTCACTGAAATCAATAAAGACATTTTGAAAAAAGAAAACAGTGCACTCTAAGGAGAATCAATTCATGGCTTGAGTATACAAATTACTCTAACGATAAACACCTGGACTTTAGCATTGCCGATAGTTTTAATTGAAGCAATTAACAAGGAAGACAAACCTTACAGCAGAATGACAGGTCTGCTATCTTATGAATTCTAGACAGGCAAAAAGACTACCTATGTGTCTAAGAAGCATGAAAAAGGTTTAAGAACTTTTTCCTAATAACTGCATGGTTGCCCTGTTGGCATTATCTTTGAGCAATTAGCCTTGGCTCATTGTACCAAGTGAGCCTAATGTTTACCCTGAATCTGATTAGATAATCATTAAAATAATAATCAAGTAAGTGCTGAATACAGAGTAGATTGCTACTTCTATTATTAAACAAGTTGGCTGACAACTACTGCATCAAGAAATGTCCCCTCTCATGCATTATAACCTCCCTGAATTAAAATGCTTCAATGTCTTCCCATGGAACTCAAAATGCTAATTCCAAGTTTGAGCCCTGAATAACATAGACTGTGCCTACCCCTCCAATAGCGTCTGCTGCCACTCTCCCCAATGTTCACCTTGCCTCAGCTACTGATCTTCTCACAGTTTAAAGAATTTTTCTGCCAAAAGGCTCCTGCAGACACTTTTACATAGGCGCACATCACTGATAAATAAATGGTTTTACAAAGCAGTTAAATCATAATGTGCCCCTAGACACAGGAAAAATTCTGAGAATACGGAAAAGGATGTAAAGTTGGTATTTTTTCCTTCAAAGTGTGATTCAATGAGGGTGTGCCATGAGGCAGGAACATTTACCAAAACTGTTCTCACTTTTCTCTGAGAAAACCATTTTCTCAGAACTCCCTGAAAGACAGGAAGGAGTTGCAATGCACATTGAAAAAACAACAGCTATCACCCCCTGGCCTGTGTGGCTGGTCCTCCCATGCACCAGAGGATGGCAGGTTCCATTCCCGATCCAGGCACATACCCAGGTTTCTGGTTCAATCCCTGGGCAGGGTGTGTTCGGGAGGCAGCCAAGCATGTTTCTCTCTCTCAGTCATGTGGTTTTTCTCTCTCCCTTCTACTCTTTAAAATCAATAAGAATAAATAAATAAATAACAATAGCTTTACACAACTTTACAATCATATATCTACACTCACCTCTGTAAGCCCATTTTCATTCCATTCTTACATAAAAAAAAAAGTCAAGGGGAATAGCTCAGAAATGAATGTTACAAAAGCAAATCAGTTACCACTGCAGATGCTATCCTGAAAAAAATCCAAAATACTCATTGGTGACTATCAGGCATCAACTGATTAAACACAATTCTTCATTACTACAACTGTCTTCCAGAAAATAAAACAAAAATGAGCATATAAACTAACCTCTCTTTCAATGATTACTTGACTGAGCCTCATTCCCACTGACATTTTCACCAGGGCCACATAATTTACAACAGCCAAGACATGGAAACAGTCCATTGATATATAAATGGTTAACAAAAATGTGCACACATATACAATGGATTATTCAGCCAGGAGAAAGAAGAAAATCCTGTCCTTTTCAACAACATAGAAATACTTTGAGGGCATTATGCTATGAAATAAGTGAGACAGAGAAAAACAAATACTGTATGATCTCACTTAAATGTGGAGTCTAGAAAAGCCAAACTCAAAGAAACAGAACACAGGTGAGTGATGGGAGAAATGAGTGAAGATGGTCAAAAGATACAAAATTACAACTATAAGGTAAATAAGTTCTGAGGTGCAATGTACAGCATGGCAACTATAGTTAACAATACTGTACTATATATTTGAAAACTGCTGAGAATAGATTTTAATAGTTCTCATCTTAAGGAAAAAATTGTGACTATGAGGTGATGGATGTTAACCAAACATTGTGGTAGTCACTTTGCAATATATACATATATCAAATCATTGTGTTCTATACCTTAAACTAATACAATTATATCTCAATAAAAAAGATGGGCGGAGATGAAGTTATAGATGAACTAACCTTTCTTTCGTTGATTACTTAACTGAGCTTCATCCTCACTGACATTTTCACCAGGACCATCCAATTTTGTTTCTCTGGTTTCTTTGCACTCACTGTTATTTCTCTTTTCAAATTTGTCTTCTCTTTCTTTTTTATTTTGTAGCTTCTTATTTCCTTGGTTGATGACACTCTGACACTGCAAAAAGTATTTCTGAATGAAGTAACTTCTGTGAACATTTTCACTAACATATCCAAAATCTGTGGTAATATACCTTACCTAAATATTGCAAAACAAATACCACCTTTTAAAAGATAAAAAACTACCCTTTGAAAGACACTGTTAAGAGAAAGTCAAACCACAGACTGGGGGAAAATATTTCCTAAGTATTTAATAAAGAACTTGTATCAGAAATATACAAGGTATGGCAAAAGTAGGTTTGCAGTTGTTTGTATGGGAAAATAATACATTAATACATAACAATACAAGAATAAACTGTTCCTTGTACTCACAACTGTAAACCTGCTTTTGTCACACCCTGTATATAATAAACTCTCAAAATGCAGTAATGAGAAAACAACTCAATTTTTGAAAACTGAGCTAGAGTTTAACATACTTCATTAAAAGATATACTGATGGTAAATGTATATGAAAAGGTGCTTGTCATCTTTAGAGAAATACAAATCGAAACTACAATGCAATACCACCACATACCTACTATAATGACTAAAATTAAGAAGGTCCAAATATTAGAGAGTAAGTGGAATAACTAGAATTTTCATAGTGGCAGTGGGAATAAAAAGTTTAGTAGTTTCTTGAAAAGCTAAACAAATAGCTACCATACAATCTAACCATTCCACTCCTAGATATTTACCCAAGAAAAATGAACACATATATCCATACAAAATTTGGTACACAAATGTTTATATAACAGCTTCATTTCTAACAGCCAAAAATTAAGTACAATCAACACAAATGTCCATCAATAGGTGAATGGACAGTGTTACATCCATTCAATATTACTACTTAGCAGTAAGGAATGAACTAGGTACACACAACACAAATAAATCTCAAAAAAAGAGAGCATACTGCCTGGCCAGTGTGGCTCAGTGGTTGAGCATCCACCTATGATCCAGGAGATCAAGGTTCGATTCCCAGTCAGGGAACATGCCTGGGTTGCAGGATCATCCCCAGTGGGGAGCGTGCAGGAGGCAACCAATTAATGACTCATCACTGATGCTTCTCTCTCTCACTCTCCCTTCCTCTCTCTGAAATAAATAAAGACCTTTTTTTAAAAAAGAGCATAGTGAATGACTCCACTTATGTAGAAAATGCAAATTAACTGTAAGTGACAGAAAGTGCATCTCTGGCTCCCTGGCATGATGGGGGGAATCACAGAGAGAATTACAAAGGTAGGCGAGGAAACTTCTGGGGTAATGGTTAAGTCCGTTATCCTGATTGTGGTAATGGTTTCACAGGTTTATATATGTCAAAACTTATCAAATTGTGCACTTTATGTATTTGCAGTTTATTATGTCATTTATATATCAATTAAGTTAAACTAATATATATTATCTACAACTACACACCACACAAATTACAAACAGCAAAGTGCACAGTATCAAATGAAAACACGTATAACCACATATGCTACTCCTCTAATAATCCCCTTAATGAAATACCTCAAAAACATCTTTTGGAGCTTCTTTCACTGTTAAAATTAAATCAAAATTCCATTCATTGAACATTTCTTGATATATACATATACATATAAATCATATGTGTACATATATAGTTAGCACTTCAACACATATTGGAAATATTATAAATCAGAAAAAACTGCATAAATTCTGAAATGTAAAATGAATGGTCTTTAAGACATATTATATTAAAATGGGCAAAACTGTGAAAAGGGTAGCTGTTGTGTTTTCAGCTTCTCTTTATTAATGTAATTCTCTAAATTTGAAGTAAAATCCATTCTGCATGTTGAAATGAGAATCTTTTCCCTATATATAAAGAAAGCCTTAAAACAATACTCACTCCAGTGTTCACTAATTCACTTGGTGTTGGCCAATTCGCCATATCGCTGAAATCACTAGCCTAAGAAGTAATAAATAAGTGTTATGTCTGCAAATTAGAAATTTTAAATAGAAAAATATTTTCTAAAAGTGAAAGCAATTTTAAAAATCACCTACATTCAATTTACATGCAGGCAATTGCCAAATTAATCCAAAAGCTTCTCCAAACAACAGAACACTGAAACAAGAATGCCCTGGTCTTATGATCTAACTCCTAGCACTATCTAATGACACTGACTAAATTTACATAAACAGGATAACAGGAGCGCATGGGAGTTTGTGTAAAAGCTACAATTCTCTAGTATATTAACTTTAAACTGCCATCAATAATACAACTAGAAGAAAAATACACAATCTAAGAACACAATTTTCAAAATTAATATAGAGTATCTAAGAACTACTTTGTGTAAAGACATACCTTGTTGGGTTTCTTTGTCTTGAGTTTTCCTGCTTTTACAATTTTTGGGGAACTGAGCTCTAAAAAAAATACATAGAATCACTTTTACAACCACTTCATTCAATATATTTAACCAAGTAACCTTCTTGTATCTCGGCCACCAACATGCCTTCCAGACTGAGGAAGACCTGGAAACTTCTGTGCCATGTGAGCCACGGCCATGCTTGCAGTGGCACAGGAAGCACTTGGGAGGCCAAAGTAATGATGGGGGCTTGCATCACCACAGGATCAACTTTGACAAATATCACCCAGGTTACTTTGGGAAAGTTGGTATGAGGCACTACCACTTAAAGAGGAACCAGAACTTCTGCCCAACTGTCAACTTTGATAAACTGTGGACTTTGTTCAGTGAGCAGACATGGGTAAATGCTGCCAAAAACAAGACTGGAATTGCTCCTAACATTGATGTGGTGCAATCGGGCTACTACAAAGTTCTGGGGAAGGGGAAGCTCCCAAAACAGCCTGTCATTGTGAAGGCAAAATTCTTCAGCAGAAGAGCTGAGGAAAAGATTAAGTGTGTTAGATGGAGGCCTGTATCCTGGTAGCTTGAAGCCATTTGGAGGGAAGTTCATTAAATGCTCAAAAGTGCTTCTGAAGGAAAACAAAACAAAATAGGGCAACCCTTTTCAGGACCCCTCTCACTTGCCGAAAGCTTTGCTTTCTTTACACAATAAACCTTTGTACTCTTTCCAACAAAACAAAACGAAACAAAACAAAAAACACACAAAAAACAAAGTAACTATTATAATACCAATTTCAGTAAGTATAGTCATCACCATTTCCAACAAAATCCAAAGATCTGAGACTCAAATTCCTAACAAGAAATGAACTACATTTCACTAAAGGTAGATTCAAATTGGTCTTCAGTATTCAAAGCAAGAAGTGCAAAATATTAAGTATAAACCGATAGACTAATCTTTTCAATAACAGAACACATTTAAAAAATTAGAAATATAACATGTTTAAATACAGTAAAATTAGTAACTCAATTTCCACTGGGATACATTTTTTTCTATAAAATTAATACACGTTCATTAAGGAGCACTCAGAAAATAAGTCAAGACTTCAAAGTATTTGTCCTTGAAAACATACAAGTTTGGCAACTATAATAAACTAAGCAATCAAAAATAGGTCTCTGTACAAGTTCGCACAAGACTATTATGCAGTCGCCCCTTATCCCTAAATTGAATAAGAACACAGTGGTCAAGGCCTGGCAGGTGTGACTTGGTGGTAGAGCCTCAGCCCTCGCACCAAAGCGTTGCGGGTTTGATTGCCGGTCAAGGGCAGGTACCTGGGTTGCATGTTAGATGCCCGCCCCAACTGGGGTATGTGTGGGAGGACACTAATCAATGTGTTTCTCCCCCTCTCCCTTCCACTCTCTCTAAAAAAAATGAAAAAAAATGAAAAAATAAATGGAAAACATCTCCTCAGGTGAGGATTACACCACCACCAAAAAAACAACAAACAAAATAAACCCATAGCAGTCGACATTATATATATGTTATACTGTCTCCAAATGAAGTTGTACACTTATAGTTGGATTCACTATCTAGCAGGATAACCAGATAGTAATGTCTTCTAGCTAAACACGACCCAAAGTAGTAAACATTAAAAAGCAGAATAGCCCGGCTGGGCGTGGCTCAGTGGTTGAGCATTGACGTAGGATCCAGGAGATCGTGGTTCGATTCCCAGTCAGGGCACATGCCCTGGGGTTGCGGGCTTGATCCCCAGTGGGGGCCATGCAGGAGGCAGCTGATCAACAACTCTCTCATCACTAATGTTTCTATCTCTCTCTCTCTCTCACTTCCTCTCTCTGAAATCAATAAAGATATGTTATAAATAAATAAATAAATAAATAAATAAATAAATAAATAAATAAATAAATAAAAAGTCGAATAAACTTGGGATCTGCACCTACATTAAATACAATAATTTAACAAAACAAATCCCAAAAATCTCGGCAATGACCAATTTATCGAACAAAAGAGTACAGTATTTGTGTTAATAGCCAGATGCAAGTTTAAATAAGATACAGATGGCCCAGGACTTATATTTTACTTTATCATGGTGCAAAAGCAATAAACATTTGGTAGAATTGTACTTCCAATTTTGAATTTTGATGTTTTCCCAGGTTGGCAATATACTGTACGATACTCTGGTGATGCTGGGCAGGGAACTGCAGCTCCCAGTCAGCCACACAATCATGAGTGTAAACAACCAATGCCCTCAGTGTAGTATTAAATGCATTTTCAACTTAAACCATATTTTCAACTTATAATTGGTATCGGTATATAACCCCATCATAAATCTAAGACCATTTGTACTTATTCAAACAAAGAGGGATGAAGGACAAAGGGTGAAGATGTCACAGGAATGGGCACTCAGGGATCTTTAATACTGTAGTAACTATTTCTAAAGCAGAACAGTGAGTATGCAAGTATTTGTTTCACTCTTCTTTATACTTAAAGGTACACATACATATGTGTATGTGTAAATGTGCCTAAGAATAAAACATTTCACTAACAAAAATAAGATAAAGTAGTAAAAAAAATATCGGCAAGACAAAAAAAAAAAAAAATGAAGGTAGATAAAAAACCACCAAATTTAATCAATAATGTTTGCCTGAATATTATCTAGAATTACACTGATGTTCTATAAATACTATGTTTATTTTATGCAAGTTATACAGTATAGAATATGTGGGGAAATTTTCTGACGGGAAAATGAAAAAACATGTTCCAAAATAGTGCTAAGTCAAGTAAATTAAGTGCCTGGTAGTTACAAACTACATCCTTTTACAAATTATTTGATATAATGAAAACTAAGAAGGAACAGGCAACACAAGTAAGTTTTATATGGCTTTATTACAAATAAATTGGACATAAATAATCACAAAATTAAGGTCAAAATTTAAAGATAAAAACTATTCTGGCCACATAAAAACAAAAGTAAACTTCTAAATTTCAATACTAAATTACACAATTAAGTTATTAAGAAAGTAGAGAAAATACTTGAATGTAAGAGTTCATCTTTCTATTGATTTAAAAATCAGTATGATCGAATATACTATCCAAGCATTGGTTATAACCTTTAGCTAAAAGTAAAGAAGTAGGGGAGGAAGGATCTTAAGCTTTATTTCTTCACACTTTTAAAAATAAAAGGAAAAGATTTTGATTTCAGTAAATTCTTTTGGACTCAAAAATTTTGGATTTTTGTTTAAATTTTAATCTCTCAACTTTAGTTACTCGGAAAACATAATAGGGAAATTTTTACATTTACTCTGTGGAATCTATAATGCTGACATTTTATTAATGGTGTATCTTTATGGATACATTGTAACTGGGATGTTTGTTATTTTCTTCACCATAATTTAATCTCATCACTGAGGATATGATAAATTATGTTGGCCAATGTGGTTGGAGACTCTAGGATAGTAAACATAAAAATATAGAGTGACTTCTTAACATTGGTTACTAAATGGCCCTTCGAGTTAATTTACTTTTCCAAGATTAAGACTCCTAAAACATTCCTGTTCCAAAGTCCCAATTTCTTCCATGGAAACAATAAGTTTCCTGATTAATATTCAGAAAAAGAACTGAACTTGCAAAGCCAGCACTCCTCACTCCTTTTTTTTTGTTTTGTTTAGGAGCTAGCTGTCCATAACTGCTCCTTCATGCTGTCGCCTTCACAGGGGCAGGATCTCCAACAGAGATAGAAGGGGGAAGTGCATTTGTGCAATGCCAACGGTGTGAACATTTTTGTCTAATTCTAAGTTCAACATCAGGAAGTCCTTTGTGCTGCTTACTTAGACCATCTCCTCAACTCAATCTTTTTTGGTTAAAAGGAAGATAATAAGCTTTAAAAAAAAAATCTAAGTAAAAGATGAACAGGTGATTCAAATAAGAAATACAAATGGTCAAACATGAAATAGTACTCAATTGTACTAATAAATAAATGCAAACTAAAACAACAAAACATTTTTCACCTATCATATTGACAAAAAAGAGAATGCTAAGTGCTGGTCAGCGTATAAAGAAATGGACATTTCTCTCATGCCGTTGGCAAGAATGCATAGCAGTAGAATCTTTCAAGGATAATCTGTCATTTAAAATGCATATACCTTTTTTATACAAAACAGTTCCATTTCTGGGAAATAACCTTGAAAGGTATAAAGATGTCTGTATAAGATATTCATTGCGGCTTTGCTGATAACTGTATTTAAATAATTAATCTCTACATTCATTAATATGGAAAAGTTATATTACGGTATAAAATAATGTAAAACTTTCAGAAATAAGAGAAATTTGTATGTACTGACTGACACGGAAAGAATTCCACCAGGTTTTAAATATAATTTGAGAGAGAGAGAACATGTAAAACAAGCCTAAGAAAGGATTTTTCATTTCCCCATGTTTTAACTAAAATGGAAGAAATTACCCTGTATGTCATTAGAGAAAATCTAAAACTGGAAAAGCCAATTTAAAAATTTTAATTAAAAAAATATATGTATATATGTGTGTGTGTATATATATGTACACACATACAAATATATATATCTTTTCAAACTGACACAACCTAAGGAACAAAATGAAGCTACTAGTGGCTCTAAGTGTGTGTGTGTGTGTGTGTGTGTGTGTGTGTGTGAACAAGTATGTGATCTTTTTATCTCCATTTTTCAATCATTAGTGAGATACTATCTATCTTTTTTTGAATAATATACCAATATCTTTAAAATATTATTTAACCCTAAGAATCTATAAGGAAATAATTCAAAATTGATAAAGAAAAAAATTCATTTGAAGAGCTTGGATACTGAAAACAAAAACTACAACATAACAGGCAATTTTACTCATTTAATTTTCATGACCATAATCTTTAGCAAAGTTTTACTGAAGAAAATGTATTGGTAGCCCTGGCTGGTGTGGCTCAGTTGGTTGGAGCTACATCCAGTATATTGAAAGGTTGTTCGATCCCTGGTTGGGGCCAGGGGTGCGTGGGGAAGGCAACTGATAGATGTTTCTCTTTCCTTCCCTTTC